GGTAATCGTTGGGTGCTTTGATGTAATTCAGTAAGCGAACAAATTAATCCAATCAATACCGAAGAACGGGTTGATTACATGTGGAGTTTTCCACCAGGAATGTAAATGCGAGCAATTTTCTCTTAAAAAGGTTTACACGAAAGCATCCATTCCCTTAAGCAGATAGCGTTCGCGTGCTTTTCCGTAATCCAATCCTAATTTTCATACATTTAGTAGTAAGTTGACATACACCTTATTACAGACAAAATAACAACTTTTTTAAAGATATTTTTTTATCAACTTGTCTGAATTCTCTCTATCTCTTGAAGAGTATAAGAATTTCAGCAAATAAAACTGGCCAAAATTTTATAACATTTAACTGATGTTTTGATTCAGTTTAGAAGTAACGTGAGCTTTACTGATATTTAAATATTTTTTGGCAGATCTCATCCTAAAAGAGGGTGTAAAGATAAATTGATTTTATTTAATTTACAATCAATGAAAATCATTGAAAGCAATCACTGAATGAATGAAAATCAGAAAAAACTATTATGCATACAATTGTCTCTTATTTATCTCCTGATAAATCAGACAAAATTGCCTGCATAATAGAAGCACTTTGAAAGAGTTGACAGTTCTTAAGGGTTTTATGCACTCCACAAAACAATGTCAAAATAAAATCTTATTATTCATAAGTATGAAAAGGAAGTAAACGAGTAAACGATAAAAACGGTTTTACCTATTTTCTAGAAGGGCATTAAATCTAAAATATTAATCTATTCTTATTTGTTATGATTAAAGAACATTAAATATGGTAAGCTTAAAGAGCGTGCAAAATCGCTGACGTTTTAATCATAGCAAAAGTCAGTACTAAAAAAAATAGCATTAAAATTATGAGACAGATTGAGAAAGAGATGGCCTCTATTTAATTTTCAAGTATATTGGCGCGAGACGAAACCTGCGGTTTTTGCCAAAATGTAGCTAAACTGATAAGAAGAGGGAAATAATGCGTAGCCAGCGGCTACTCTGAGCAGCGACAATGGACCACCCAAAGATCTACAGATAGGCGATTCTCTAAAATGGGGAGGGCATGGATGGTACGACAGTTGTACCAATGCCGGCGTCTGAGAAAGTCATTCTCCTTGTACAACTGCTGTACCAGCCATCTTAAGGAGAAACATTTAACATTAACTGAATAGATAATTAGATAAAGCCTAGCTTATACACAATACATTAGTGCATAAACGTATTATGTGCATGCGCAGAAAGTTTGTAGCTTTGAGTTCCGGATTATGGACGTCTGAATTAAAGACTTTGTACTGTATAGGGTTCTGAATTTTGCTACGTGTATGGCAATTGTATTTTTTGGAACATCTGTGAACGTTGAGAACTGCAGTTGACATGCATTTGAGATGTTCTGCTGTGTATTTTGCATAGTTTCAGCTGTATTTTCTAGCCATTCTATACATGATTACAAGATTTCTAATGTTTGCTCATAGCAGATTATTAAATTAAGTGGCACATCCGTGATATAAGTTTCTGAATTTTGCTAAGTGTATGTCAATTGTATTCATGCCAAGCTTCATGCTTCATTCATGTGCCCGACTGCCAAAATGTTACAGCTTATAACAAATTCTTGAATCTAGCAGCTCTTTTAGTCAATGGTTATGAAAACTGTGTTTAGCAAGTTTACCTGTGTATAAATTTGCTAAGCTTTTCAGATTAAAAATTCTTTCATATTTTTCGGAAAAAAACTTCTGGTTACCAAAAATGTTATAACATTTTTAGTTTTATAAACAGCAGAAGAGTACCTCAGGTAGAGGGTTTGTTCAGTAGCATTTTATTAATTCGTGAAACTTTAATATCTTTTCACTGTTTGTCGTTAAACTTGTACCTTTTTTTTCTTGTACATGCATACTATAAATGGCCTATTATTACTTTTTCTTGAATTATATTTCTTTGACCTGTTTCGGCAGCCTGTAAATTTGGTGTCTTGTTTCAAACATACTTTACTTGCTTAGTATATGTATATTTTACTTTGCTGCTTATATGAATTTTCCATACTAATAAAATTTATCTATCAAAGCAAACAGGAATTAGAAGAGCTATCAGTTACTTGAAGCAAATTCGGCTATGTAAAATAAACCAAGTGTTAGATTATTTTAGTGGTGGTAGAATTTCTCATTTATTTTAAAAATGTGTCTTTTGATATATCCTCTACAGCAGTGATTTCAAACTGAAATTGCATTTGGGTCAAGTGCAATGATATGACAACAGTCGACAGGGTGGTTTTCTTTTTTTACCAAACTGAAAAAAATTGTTTAACTAAATTTTAAACTTTATTTTCTAAATATTTATCACAATATTCATAAATGGTAATAATTATCAAGCAAAGGAAGAAATTCCAATTTCTGTCCTGAAATGTAAAGGTTGGTTGGTATCTGCGAGAAATTTCTACTGATTGAATGTTGTAATTCAAACGCATTGACAACTAAATATTAAATTTTTGAGACTCACATTCATGTCAAATAATTCTAATATACTGAATTAACAATTAAATGACTAACTTAAAGTTAACAAATTATGAAAACTCTCCAAATGGGACCAAACATGAGAATAAATAGTATTGACCTGTTGCCTTTCTTTTACTAACTAATTTTTTTTAATACATATAGAAAAAATTTGTGTATTTGTATGCAAATAATTATAAACTTTATTTTTTACTACAGCTTACAGCATTTGAACTTCAATAAAGTTTGTGGCCTTGTAGAAAAATCACTAGACGTTATCTTCATCATGAATTATAGATGCTAACCGAACAGCCTGATCTCTTTCCTTATTATTGTGGGAAAACAATGCTCTCGTTTTAATGTATTTTCAAACAAAGTGATTATTGGTACTTACATACTGTCGCAACCATGCTCAGACAATCGTTTCAGTCAAGCGATGCCACTATTTTTGTATGTGTTCTATTTTCTTGTATTCCAAGTTCCACTGGTTTTTATACTGAATATTTTTTGTCTTAAACTTAGTTTTAAAATATGAGCTTGTGGAATTTGCCAGTAATGGAAGAAACTACAGTAATATAGAATTTTGCTGAAAATTTTCTAAAGGAAAGAATGAGGAAATGTGTTATCTAGATAGCCGCTGTTGCTGAAGATTGCACAAAGCTGAATCTTCGCAGTTCTCTGATATTTTTTTAATGAAAACAGATTGCTGTGTACTTCAGGAGAAGAGTAACGCAAAAAAAAAAAAAAAAAAAAAAAAAAAAAAAAAAAAAAAAAAAAATTTACAGAAAGATTTGAAGAAGAATGTGTTTTATTTTTTAATGTATGACGTAATCCTTATTTAATAATTCAAATTTCTATTTTAAATTGCTAAGGTATGTTTTCTTTTACAATGTTAATATTGTATACCAAACTTACTATAAATATCAATAGTTTGGGAATCTTTCTAAGAAACACCAACTTACACATGCTAAGTAACTTGTACATTTTCATCGTTAAAAAATCTCCATATTGCACAAGTTTGTTGTGGTGGTACATAAGTACCCGATTATTCTTATTGAAAAATTCATTACTGAATGCATTTATCTCTTGAGAAGTATGAAAAAAAATTAATCAAATCTTTATCTTTAAATACTTAAATTAAAAAGATTTAAATTAAAAGTAAAATTAATTTAATTATCTTAAATTAAAAGATTTAAATCGCAGTTTAAATTAACTAACTCTATTTGTTGATTTTCTGTTCTATTACATTAATTTTTGATGGTAATAAAATTTATGTAAACTCGAATCAAAATCATTAAAATCGCAAACCTTTATTCTTATTCTTGCCTTAACAGGTAGTCTGATAGTACTAATTAATTTACAGGAAATTTATTTGCAGTCCACTTAAATTTGCCTCCTGCATTCATTGCATGTGGGCCTTGAGCCACAAGTTTGAGACCACTGCTCTAGAGTATACCTTCTCTTCTTGGATTAAATTTAACAAAACTTTGTTATGAGCTGTATCAATTAGTAGCTACTGGAAGTTAAACTTGTAGAAAAATTAAGTTGTATGAAATTATACCTTGCATTAAGCATTATGTATAAGTTGCATCATCCAACTTTTTCATTCATATTATTCGCATGCATTAAGGTGCAACTTGGTATATGATTGAGGCAGCTGTTCTGATAATGAAATCATTTGTGTTAAATTCCTGTAACTTCCCTAGCCTGATTATGATTCATAATCAGCTACATCCCTTTTAGAATGCACTTTCTAAACTCGACCTTACAGCTGATCCAGTGTTTAAAACTGTAAGACTAGGTATGCATTTCATTTTTTGCTTCAATTTAACAAACTAGTGTATTTTCAAGTAAAACTAAACAGTTTTAAGGTTATTTCATTATAATGCCCTAAAAAACTAATTATCATTTTAGTCAAAAGATATGTAACATTATCAAAGACATAGCATGTTGCTTCATATTATTGGCTTTGGAGATATGAAAAACCTTTCATCCATATTCTTCATGTTGAATACATAGAATTCTTTTTACCCTTATGTAATCACTCTACATATTTTCCCATATGGTTCTCATTTTCAGGCATGTCATTGGAAGACTTTGTTTCAAATTATTCAGTTTTGTTTTATATGTGCAATTTGGTATTAAATATTTTCTGGTTATGTTTTTTTGGTTTTAGATAGTTAAGATGAGTTGTGCTCAACATTTAAAATGATAAAAATGGAGATTATTTAGTTTTTATGTTTTTGACTGGTCAAACCTGTATATTTTAAATATATATATTATATATCTGTATAGAAATTTAATTGTATGTGCATGAAAGTTTATTGTTAGGTCAGTGTGAGACATGATATAAAAAAACTTTGGTGCACCAAAATTATCAAATTAAAATTGGAAAATGTTAAAAAACTTAAAAAAATATTTTAATTAAAATTATTTTTCAAATATGCCATGAAACCCGAGAATACTGTTAATATATGTTTAATTAATGTGTGTTCATTTTGTCCTATTTAGGCTTGCTGCTTTGAGGGATTAAATCATGTTCTTTGAAAATTACTTGTTGGAAAGAAATATCGACATGTTTACTTTTTTCAGGGCTTGTTCTTTATGCATATAATTTATGTTGAGTCCCAGAACTTCAGGAGATCTTGAGCCTAAATTGTTTTAAAGCTACTAATTTGTCTTAATGGGTCTGTAATAAATTGTAATAAAGTTGTTTAAAAAATCATACTGCAGCTATTATTATTTTCATATTGATTCTACCTTTTATAAAAGAAATTTTCTACATGTAGAATTCTTGATTGTCTGTATGAAAGTCTCGTGTATTACATTCTTTTATGTTGGTAACAGAATAAATTTTTAGTACTGTTTCTTTGTTGTCGTTTTGTTTAATACTAAACAGAACTGATTTAATTCCTTTCTCTTTATTGACGTGCAGTGTCCAAATTTGTTACTTTTTAAACTGACAGTTCCTTCGTAATTTGCTTTTTTTAACGCATTTAGGTTACACAGATTGTGTAATAAAATGTTATATTACAAGACTGCATTTATATGTAATCTTTCATTCATAAACTGCATTCTAAAGAATTGTGTCATCTTTATTAATTTATTCTGAATGTATGCTGCATAGGATGTTTTTAAAAATAAGATATCTCTAGTTGGAAGACTTCAATGGAAACATGTAATGTTCTTGAAATTTTCTGTATGATGCAGCTGAAAATGCATTTTCCTGGAAAGTTATAATTTATATTATTTAAAATTATATGTGAAAGGCTTAAAAATATTTTATGATGTTATAATATGTGAGTTGGAAATAGAATTCACTCTGTCTTGTTTGTTAGCAAGTGTTGTGTGTTCTAGTTGCACAAGTAAGTTTGTTGATAAAAAAATTTGAAACTATTATTTTTTTTTATATGAGATGTTAGTACTGTAATAAAAAGCTAATTATTTAAAAGGTCAGATACGATTTCCATTAATCCGTCCAGAACCAGGATCATGCATACACGATGCAATGATTCCACTCCTACCAGCCCAGCGTCCCGTATACAGGATGCGACGATTCTGCTCCTATCAGCCCAGCCTCGCGTATACATGGCATTAAAATGGAACAATTTATTTGAATTTTTAAAAGCCAGTAAATGGAGCTAAGTGGTAATTGTTTTCACATAGGTTGATTCATACGGCATTTGACCTTTATGTACTGGCATTAGTTTCCGTTTTGTGCTTCTAGTTTTGAGCTTCTGGTTTTGAGAGATTTATTGAAATAAGCAAACTGGAAATCATGGCTCCTTGTAAGTGTGCCAGTGAATTAAAGGGGCACAGGCGTTTTTGTTTATTTTGTTAGGAATTTTTTTTGTTTGTTTTTCTATTTATTTTGAAACTTAGCATAAGATTTCTTGGTTAATTAAAAAGTAACATTATTACAGATTTTAAAGACTATCAGCTTTCTCAATGCGTAATGCATCTTACTCACATTTCTCAGGAAAGAGCCAGTGTTTTTGTTTTTCTTACTCAATTTAATACGTCATTATATATAATGACACAGGCATTATATTTTGGTACATAATGTACTTACTTTACATATAATGTAATTATTTATAATGTATATATTGGACGTGATCAGTAACGGATATCCCGCCAATTGGGGGTCTTTCCTTGATCAATTTCCAGTCATCGTGGACGCTGCTTTCGATTTAAAAAAACAGGAAGTTTTTCTAATATAAACTTGATGTCATGCAGGATTTGAGCATGAAATATTTCTGAGTGTCTTTTGAAAAAGTTTTGGCAATTGTGTAGGGATTATATTCAGTTTCATTCTGTTATGGCTAAGACCTCACGTAAAAACTTAAAAATTTGTCTAAAATCATTGGACACTCCTCCTTTCCATCTAACTGGGAGACAGTTTCCAAAAATTTACTTTGATGGAAAAGGTAATAAAAGTAGGAGAAAATGCATTGTGTGCGCTATAACCAAGGAAAAGCGAAAGCAAACAACGAATTTTGAGTGCGAAATATGCAATGTAGGACTGTGTGTCGATCCTTGTTTTGAATTATTTCACACGCAGCAGAATTTTTAAATTGGAATTTAATAACCTACTGGTAATTCTTGTTTAGTTTTTTTTTTTTTTTTTTTTTTTTTTTTTTTTTCATATTTGTAATATTTTTTTCATGTTTATAATACTTATTTCTGTGTGTATAGTTATGATTTTAGTATTTTGCCTGTTTAATTTATTTCTATTAGTGTGATATTCTTTATATATACACATTAGAAACAAGTACATTAAATACGTAACTTCAAAAACTTATAGTACATTAAATACGTAACTTCAAAAACTTATAGTTTTTGAAGTTACGTATTTAATGTACTTGTTTCTAATGTGTATTAATATAAAGATTCACTTTTATATATATAAGATTCACTTTTATATAATAAGATTCACTTTTATATGTATCACTTTTATATTGATACATATAAAAGTGAATCTTCATAACTTACCTCACTGATGTTTGAAACATTAGTTTGAGCTTGCAGTTCCTTTGAATTCTTGATTGATTCTTCTCCTGCATAAAAGCTACAATTTTTAACTGATTTTTAAGAGCTTAACCCCATGCATTGAATATAATATGCATGGCCTGTATCTGTATTGACTTATCTCCTCTGAAGTGCTTGCATTTTCACAAAATTCAGTTCTGTTCATCATTTCCTGAGCACCATTTCTGTAATGACATTTGAAAACTTTTATAATACCCTGGTCTAAAGGCTGAATTTTCCAAGTTGTATTTGCAGGAAGCTACACTTATGTTTTTCAGAAAGAAAGAGGTACGTATGCTGTACACTTATTTAATTAGTAAAGTCTTAGAGGGCAATTACTTTTTGTCCCATGGCTTTAAACAGTCTGTAATGACAAAAATACTTCCTGAAAAAATCTTCTGACAGAAATGAACATTGAGCCCCTGTGTCCAGGAGTGCAGTGGTTGGTACATTATTTACCAGAATATATATCTCTGGCATAGCTAGATTTTGTACCACTACTGTATTTAAATGAATTTCTGAGGGGTCTTCCTTCCCACTCAGTGACCGTCGCCCCTTCTCGATCACCGGTTTGCGTTTAAATTCTGCTTCCCCACTGCCTCTTTACGCTGACTTTTCTTTCCGCCACCCTCTGATTTCTCTGCACTCTTGTTATTAGAATTTCCATCTTTTCCAATCTGCCGATATGCATTCTGCTGAACTTGGCGGTTTCTTCTGAGGAGTAAACCTTGGGTGTTAGCCAAACTGGTTCGCACATGCTTTCTCCGAGTTAACTCATCTTTGGCAAGGTTCTTTAATATTAAAGGTTAGGCCAGCAACGGAAAAAGCATGCCATTGGTTGCTGGTAGTGACGTCACCCGGGTGACAAGACATATGGGTTGGCGCGTCTGCTACATGATTTTGGTAATGGGAAAAATGTAAACTAAAGCAAAATGATCCTTTTATATGTGGGAATTATAATAAAATACCGGGTATATACTTTCTGATTAAGCATTTTATTAAAGCGAATGTTTATTTTATGCACAGAATTCGTACGAATGCTCAAAATAATTGTAAACATTACATCCTTTCCTTAATGGAAAGCATTAGAACATGAAAACCGATATTTAAGTTAATTAAGGGACATAAATGTTGTAAAACGAGGTATTTTCCAATATATTTGTGCTGTATTGTCTGCATTAAGTAAATCTTTTTTAATAGAATACATGAAGGCATAACTGCTAAAACCATGGTAATAACATAATAAAAAAGTATTTTTCAATTTATTTTCATTGCTCATGCATTTTTTGATACAAATGAATTTTGACATTCCATCAGAAATATATGATTGTGATTTTCATTTAAAATTACATAAGCAAAAATATGTATAAAATGATTCAAATCAATAAATTCATATTTAATTACACTAAAATTCTACAAATTTCTTAATATCACATCCTTATACTTTTAAATAGACTTATCACATTCTTTTAAAGTCACTTACTTATACTGATTCACTTCAGATTTCAGCAGAAGTGTATATACAGTGTCTCAAAAAAGTGATGGGACACTTGTGCTTTACAAAAGGAAACTGTAGTAAAATAAATTTAAAAAACAGTAAAAAATTTTTGTGAGTGTGTTTCATACTTAAATTTAGTAACAATTATTACATAACATACATTTTCTCAAAATATTAATTTAATAAAAATGCAATTGTTTAGAACGAAGCAAAAAATGGCACACATAAGTGATGGGACACTTACTTTTCCATCAAATATTTATCTAAAAATTTTACTTTTTAAAAGGTTTTTAATATTTTGTTGGATTTCCTTTTCCTTTTAAAACATGATTTAATCTTCTTGGGATGGATTCCACTAATTTTTTTGTGATTTCTGGAGTGATTTTACTCCATTCTTCTTGAAGCACCGATTTTAATTGTTGTTTTGAAGAAATGGTGTGTTTGCAAATTCTTGATTCCAATTCTTGCCAAATATTCTCTATGGGATTTAAGTGTGGAGATTGTGGTGGTGTTTTTATTATTTCAGGCCAGTTATACAGCAGCCAGAGTCTAACGTTCAAAGCAGTGTGCTTAGGGTCATTGTCCTGGTAGAAATTTAAATTGTTATAAAGGTACAATTGTTGTGCTGAAGATTTCAAATTTTGATTTAAAATGTCAATATACTTGTACTGATCCATCATACTGTCAATAAAAACAAGATTACCAACTCCAGTAGACGACATACACCCCCATACCATAACTCCTCCTCCACCATGTTTTACTGTTGGCACCAAGTTCTGTTTGCGAAATTCTTCCCTGGGTTTTCTCCACACCAAGATTCTACCATCAGAACCAAATATATTAAATTTACTCTCATCAGCAAATATAACTTCATTCCAGTAATCAGAATTCTTATTTATGTTGGATTTTGCAAAAGCCAGTCCGAGTTTTTCATTCTTTTCACTTACAAAGAATTTTTTCCTGGCTGCTCTACCGTGATATCCAGCAGATCAAATTACTTTTCTAATAGTCTCAGGATTAACAATTACTCCATATAATGCTTGTAAATCAGCAGCAATTTTAGGAGCACTCATTCTTGGATTTTTTTTAATATTTTGAACGATAATTCGCTTTATTCCATTGGATAGTTTTGATGGTCGGCCAGGTCTTCTTTTATCCTGGATCATATGATTCTTTTTATATCGTTTAATGATATTGAAAACTGTTTCAGCTGTTTCTCTAATAGATATTCCACGTTCAATATGCAAATTAATAACTAATTTTCAAATTTCAGGCAAAGTTTCTTTTCGTTTAGCATTCATAGCTGCACAGAGCTAAAAAACACAAAAATTCCAAAACAAA